GCCTTGTAGGAGGAAAAGGAAGCAGATGGGAGCGTGTCACAATTCAGCGCTTGATTTGACGAGTCAAGTAAGAGCACGCTATCTTCTGCCGAAGGTCCAAGTCCAGGAACATTTCCTTCTTTTTTCCATATCTCCCCAATCGAAAAGGCGGGGAAAGAAGAAAGCAATCCGCAAAAGAGTTTGCAAGGGAAACATAGACCAACATCTACCGACAGAATTCAATCCAATCCAGTCCAGCACCAACACCCAACGAGTCCACACGCACCTCTAAGTCCTAAGACCGTGACTGCCTACCTCAGTAACAGCAAGTCACAAATCTACCACACACCATGACGGACACGGCCACCGCCAACAAGGCTTACTTCAAGTGCGTATAGAGCAGCACCCTGCTCCAGATCACCTACCTACCTACCCACACACCCCCGTCCTTGCGGCGCCGATTCAGGCCCCCCAATCACGTCTGAATTGCCCACTGTTTCTCTCGCGGGTTCCTGCAGAGACACCCATCGCGTTTCCATTCCATAACCGACGGGAAGGAGGTTTGCATGGTGATACGACGTGCCCTTGATATATCGATGGCGTTTGGCAAGAGAGGCACCATATCTCTCATGCCTACCCTGCCTTCTCTGACTGACGTAATGTCGCCATAGTAAACTTGCTGCCGAGTACGACTCCAAGTACGAGAAGACCATTTTGCAGCTTGAACGAGAGATTCGCAAGCGCAAAGATTTCATCGGCGTGGACTGGGTCGACGAAGACGACGACGAGGATGAAGATGAAGGCGACGAGTACAGCGGGAAGCCCGCCGCCGCCGAAACAAATCCGGCTACCGACAGCAGTCCGGTGAGACTGCTCGACTACGCTTGTGGCACCGGCCTGATATCAAGGGTAAGTGTGCTTGCCTCGAGTTGTGTCGAGTCTCAGCACCGCGCCGGCAATTCTGTTTGCTGACGCGTTTGTGTACAACGCTCTCGCCCAAGGTCACAACCTGTCTCCCCGACAACAAACACAACAAGAGGAAAGGGGGACGAGGCACACACTTGGTTCACTTGACTGACAAACATGGTATTGCCCAGGCTCTCGCCCAGTTTACCACGCATTGCGTCGGCATTGACATCTCGGAGAACATGGTGGCCGCTTACAACGCCCGGGCCGAAAACCAAGTGAGCCAGAGCTTTCTTCCGTTGTTTGCTCCTTTGCCCTTTACACACAGACGCAACCCAAGTCGTAAATACACCCGAGTCTCCCGAACGTAGCTGTCTTTCTTGTTTCCGCAATGGTGAGAATGGCGCAGCAGCAGCAGCGAGCGAGAGCGAGCAGGCAGTGAGTGATTGCTGGGAAACATGACACACAGAATCTGTTCGCGTGCGTCGCCTTGAATCTCTGCCCTGGTAACTCCAAGCACAGACGGCAGTCTGGTCCGGTCTCTCGATCTCACCTTGGTCTCATCTCAGCCCTGCTGACCCCCATGACGTGGACGCGGACGGCGGTGCTGTGACCACTTTGACACTCTCACACGCCGCCGTCGCGCGCACACACACCCGACGGGACCGACGGCGGCTCATCGAACCACCCCTCCCTGCCTCCATCCCTCTCTCCATGTACTGCATTTCCCCCTTCCTCGTCCGGGCCACCCTTCCCCCGCGCCCAATGTCATCTCATCACATCCCAGGAGCAGGGCGGGAATGCACGAAATAACCTGTGACCGGACAAACTTCGTGATTACGTTGCAAAAACAGATGTGGCCTTTCAGCTGACCCCGAAACCTCTTCCGGCATAGGGCCTGAGCACCGACGAAATGCGCGCGTATGCAGGGAACCTCACGGATCCCGCCGACCCGGACCCGGCCGCCTTCGCCGGCGCCGGGTTCCGTGATTTCGATGTCGCCGGCGTTGGGCTGGGTTTCCACCACTTTGCGGACCCGGAGTACTCCGCAAAGAAGCTGGTAGAACGACTCCGGCCCGGCGGCGTCTTTATCATTCTCGATTTCCTGCCGCACGAGAAGATGCACCACGGTCTGCCGGCCGCGCACACCGTCATGCACCACGGGTTCTCGGAGGAGAGGATGCGTGCAATCTTTGAGCAGGCCGGGGCCGGGAAGGACTTTGCCATGGAGGAGCTTGGGAGCGGCGTTGTGTTTGGTGGGCATGGGCATGGGCATGGTCACGGCCACGACCACGGTGACGGGCATGATCATGGCCATGGTCACGGACATGATGCACCAAAAGAGGGGATGAAGAGACGCGTGTTCCTGGCGCGTGGAACCAAAGCTTAGAAAAAAGATAAAGGCGTGTAGTCTATGGAAAGGAACAAATGTCTGGTATAAATCGATCACTCGACGAACATGAAGGAAGTGGGTGAATTGATATGCTAGCCTGCCCAACATGAGACTCTACTGCTGCTGCGCTTGTTCCTTCTCAATGATGTCGACGGCGAAGGCACCTCCGAGCAGGATAGCCGGCTCCTCGATGCTGTGGTGCTCGTAGCTGCAGCATATGTGTTAGTGTCTCTGCCAAAGAAGTGAATTGCTGCTGCCTGCGAGATTGTGTGATGATACTCACCTCAAGGTGCCGACACCGCCGGCCTCAAGCAAAAAGGCCGGGCCGTCTTGAAGCGTCTTGCCGGCCCAACGCATGGCAAAAGCGCGGAGGATATGGCCGTGGGCGACGATCAGGACGTCTCCCTTCTGCGCCTCCTTGTCGCCGATGACGGGGCGGTGCCATCTGTCACGGATGTCCTTGATCAGTCGGTCCAGACGTTCCGTGACATCTTGGGGGCTCCTATGTGGTGCACGCGGTCAGCTGCGGTACTCATTTCACAGGGTCCCCTTTCACTTCCTTCCCTCGAATATCCCACGTAAGGTAGGTTCTCCAGCAGGAAGCATGGCAAGGGGCTGATCCTCCGAGGATTGGGACAAGCGGAAAGTACTCACTCGCCACCCGGGCAGCCATCACGCCAGATGTCCCAGTTCTCGGACAGGCCCTGCTCCTTGCGGATGCGACGGATCTCGGGGGACGTGATGCCCTCGTAGTCGCCGTAGTCCCACTCGCGAATGTCCTCGGTGACCTCGACACAGGCGTCGCACTTGGGTCCGTCGCCCTCTACTTGGCCATGCTTCTTCCAGGGGAGCTCGTCGGTGAGGCCGAAGTTGAGGAGCTCAAATGTGCGCTGAGCGCGCTGGCGTGGAGAAACGTAGCTGGTGATGGACTTAGCATCTTTCAGGGCAAAGGCAACACAGATGAAGTCGACAATTTCAACCAAGTATGCGTAGGGTGATGTGGTGGTTGCAATAGAATGAACGAAGGAGGCAGACGTACATGTGTGATATCTTCTTCGGCACGATAAGACGGTCACTTCCCACAAGAGCCCGGCCGGTGGCCCGTACACGCTTCTCGCCGTTGGTCGTCAGGGGAATGTCGGTGGAGCCGGTATGGCGGCCGTTGAGGGACCACTCCGTCTCGCCGTGGCGGATGACGAAGGCGCGCGGGGTCGACATTGCAGCGGTGCGGTGCGGCAGAGCCTCTTTTCTCTTGCACACTAACGGGGCTTTGACAGCGGATGCAACCTCGGATGAGATGGGAGGAAGCCGTGGGTGGCGGCGTGACGGGGGGCCGACGGTTGGATGGTGTGGAGGAAGTCAATGCAATGTTCTACGGCGCTCCTCTCGTCGGGCTGGTGGAGGGGAGACAAGGATATCGAGTTAGTCTGCCTAGCGTTCTGCGGCAAGATGTAGGCAGTTCTGTGACGTCCGCGCATAAGGAAGAAATATCGGGCAGTAGGGCAATAGGGCCGGAGAAGTTGAGACGACGCGCGGGAGAGGCAGAGGTAGGTGTCGAGTGACGTGCCCCTCGGCGGTTTGGCTTTCCAGCCGTCCCGCCTTCCCGCGGTTCCGCCCATCTTCAGCCCAGCTCCGCACAGAAGAGCGGAATCTCTGGAAAGATGGTTGAACCGGTGCTTTAACATGGAGCCCCGTAGAGTTCGGCAATCGGACATGCGAGCGCCAACTTTGGCTGATGAAGTCGACGATCCCAGCCCATCATCCCGCGTCCCGCGATATCAGCCAAGCCAACGAGCCCACCATCAACTGCAACTGCGGGGGAGGCGGTGTTTGAATCGAACTCTTGTCGTCCTCTCGATTCGACTTGACGTGCGGGCAAAAAAAAAAAAAAAAAAAAAAAAAAAAAAAAAAAAAGACAAGCCTTCTCTCCCGTCTTCCGCGGATCTACCACCCCTGTATCTTGGCCTCTTTTTCTGGCCGCAACTCCTTTCGCGTGCACTTGCCACAAGTTGCGTCCCATCAGCGGTAGTCACCTGGCTCTGTGACAGACGTCTGGCTTCATGCGGGCCAGGAAGACCGGGGGAAGAGAGCAGGACAAGTGCCAGAAGAGAGATTCCTCCGTTGCGGTGCCATGAGATGGATGCGTTTCAGCCGGGGTTGCGACGGACAGGGGGGCCGCACACTTGTCTGCTCAATCCCCCCATGCAGGCAGATCAGACAACACAACACATCCGGGTAAGCCACCGATAAGAGGATGGATGGAAAGAATCCCGCCGTTGTCTGGCGGCGCTTGGTGCCGAATAGGGCGAGCAGGGGGGAAGCAAGTCGCGATTGTCAGGCAGGAAGACGCAAGGAAAGGATGAAGGGTGGAGGAAGAGACAAAAGAGTTGCGGACGAGGGAAGGCCAAGGGGTGGTGGTGGAGGGGGCCAGAAAGAGCTCTCACGAAGTTTGTTTCAACGCACCAGAGATGAGTGGGCAATGAATAAGCCCGCTGAAATGCTACCGAAGGACAACCAAAAAGGCAGTTTGGTCCTTATCTCTCTCGCTCGGCCGGTCGCTTTGGGTGTTGCAAGCGAGGTAACGCAAAACTTTTTTTTTCCAACACTTCCTCTGTCTCTCTCTGTTGTTTGAAAAGGTAAAAGGCACGGGATATATATTAAATAACTCTCTTTTTACCTGCTCTTCTCCATTTACCCAGCGCCTTGCCCTTTGCAATCAGTCATGGCCGACGTCACGCCCGCCGCCGCCGCAGCAGGTCGATTACTAAGAACGCTGGGGCTGCCGGAATCACAGCGACAAAGTCTTGGTCTTCAGCGGGGCACCGGTGTTCCCGCTCCCGGCCGCTGCTCACACGGCGTCGCCTCTGCAGCAGTCCACGCTCTCCATTGTTCGACAGAGGAAGCCCCTGAGGCGATCTCGCCAACAATTTCCCTCGAGCTCGAAGCTTGGCCTTCAGAGCCATCAACGCCATCCACCGCCGAGTCGTCCGAGTGTGATTCCGTCGGCCCCTCGACGATCCCCCCGGCCCTACGACGCAGGTATTCGCACTATTCGCCGCTTGGCAGGTTACGAGGCCATTCGCGAACCAATTCCCTCGACTCGACGGCGACAGACTCTTCCGTCGCCTCGTCTTCTTCCACATCCTCCACGCGGTCACGCTGGAACATCTTCGCGCCGGTGCTGGACGAATTGACGGCCTCAAATCACCGATCCGACTACGCCAGCGACAAGAAGAGCAGGCAGTCAAGAGAGGTTTGGAGGGAGTACTGGTGAACTCCTGCTCGTAGTAAGAAGGGAGGGAAAAAACCAGACACCGTCGCAATGAGCGGGTTCACAAAGTTCCGCGCCGGCCTAACCGCTGCCGGCTGCGCAGCCATCATCTTCACGGGCGCCACATACGGCGCTGGGCTCAAGACTCAGGAAGAATGGACAGAGGTGGGTTAAATGCACCTGGCTCATGCTGCCTGTATACTGACTCCTCGCAGGAACGACAGAAGTTCCATGGGTCGCCATATGACGAGCAAATTGCGCTCCTGGAGGGCCAGCGAGTCCGCCTTCTTTCTGAGCGTCGAAACTGGGAGAGAAAGTCGACGGCCTTGGAGGAGAGGATACGAGAGAGGGAAGCGAAGAAGCCAGGGAGCTGATCGAGCTGGGACGCCACTCGGCACTCGACCCAAGTTGCCATGCGATGGCCTTGAGGGGTTCTTTGGGCCTCGAGCAAACCTGAACACGCCCCACACTACTTAACACGTCCAAATGGAAGAGAGGCGAGCGAGAAGGATTTAGTAGCAAAGAACCGCGACGCCCGGTATCTTGCTGAATCTACTGCTCAGATATACAGCAGTAGCAAACCTGCATGCACATGTAATCACGCAACGGAGACCACCCCGACAAATGGGCGGCAATGTAATTGTAAATGTATCACAGAGATGGGAGCATCACCAAAAGCGATAGCGAGTAGAGTAATGAACTCTGGCCATTACATTCATCGACCTTTCTATCTATTCCCTAGTTTCATGTTCCTGTGTCATTGTGTCGTTTTGTATGTCACCCATAAGCTCGTTCCGCTCGTAAACGCCAAGGCCGATGCTCTCAACAGCTTTTCCGGCTGCAAAATCTACTCCGACTTCTCCTCGACGGTGGGCAGCGGGATGGCTCTGTAGAGAAGAATCAAAGCAGAGTGGGACTCGCCACCACCCGCCAGAGCATCGATCTTGTCTGACGTAACCTCCGAAACCTTGTCATCGTTGAACCACCACCACTTGCCGTCCTCCTCACCCTTCGTGCCGGTCTTGGGGTCGATAGGGGCAGTCTTCTTGACATATGCAGTGTAGTGACCGCTGTCGGCGCTGGCACCCTGGTGGGTGACGACACCGCGCAGCTCGTAGATTCCAGACTGGTTGGAGCCTTCGTCCTTGGCCAGATCCTGGTTGACAAGTGCATAGAGCTCCTTCTTGGCAGCAAGGAGGGCGGCGTCCTTCTCGGCCTCGACTTCGGCGTCGGTCTTGAATGTCTCCTCCATCTCAACATCACCATCAGAAGTCGTGGCAACTACCTTTCCAGCGCGCTCGGCCTTCTTCTCGTTCGCCTTCGCCAAGGCCGTCTTCTCCTCCTTGCTGGGAGCTCCGGACGCTCCCGCAATGTCGCCCCGGTCGTTGGGGTTGATTTTGCGCCTCTTGCGGGCACGCTCGATATCCTCCTCATCTTTTCGGATCTCGCGAACCTTGTCGCGGACGGGGATGAGCGCCTTCTTCAGCTCATCGGTACAGAATTCGACGACATCGAGCTCGTGGGGGAAAGTGACCTTACGCATGATCTTGGCCTTCTTCTGGACCTCGCGCTTCCAGAAGAAGCGAACAAAATGAACAGTAAGGTACTTTGGCAGGCGAGAAATCTGCGACTTCTTGGTGTAGGTGGTGTCTCTGTCCAACACGGACGACTTCTTCTCCAGCTTCTCCGACAAAGCGGCCAGAATACCATCACGCAAGTGGTTGATTGTTTGATCGATATGGCAGTTGAGCTTGAGGAAGGTCTCGCTGGACTTGATGGGCTCCTCGCCGCCGTCTCTGGCGGCTTGCTCATCAGCCTCGAGTGTAGACTGCAACTCTCCAGCCATGTATCTGTCGATGAAGGAGGAGCCTTCGGACTCAGCAAGCTTCTGCTTCAGCTGAATGAGAATCTGAGACCAGGCCTCCTCGGCATCCTGCTGAGCATATCCGTTTCCTGTCTTGGACTTTTCGGCGAATTGGGGGTAGACCATGCGCAGCGTGCTCAGGAAGGTGAGCGGGGGAATGCTGCCCTGGGTCTCCGACATGTTCTTGTAAAGGTCCGTCAGCTGGGTGGCCAGGTCGGTCGATCCCATGCCAAAGCTGCTGCTGCCACCGCCGCTACCCGACTTGTGTGTGGTCAATGCTGTCTGGAGTTCGGGAATCGATCGGAGGGTCTGGAGGGTCGAGTTGAGGTAGCAAGTGTTGCCCAAGTTGGTGAGACCAGCGGGCGTAGCACCCTCCTGTTGAGCAGCTTCGGCTTCGGTCATGTCCTCGACGAACTTGACCGCTTCCTTGGGTCGGGCGAGATCGGCGTTCTCTCCGGAGGGCTTTCCCATCATCATGAGGGTCGCGCCCGCCTTGAGGCCGAACTTGGCCATGTCGTCATCATCCTTGACCTGCTTGCCCTTCACCAGGATCTTCTGTCGCTCGGGCTCGACGCCGGTCAGGCTGTAGAGCTGATACTTGAAGGTCTCGCCGTTGGACGAAGTGTCGACCTCGACTTGGTACTTGGTGCCTTGGTGGCTAACGGTAACTACCCCCCAGTTAGTAAGCATTGAAGCTGCCGATTGCTCCTAAACGTTCTCACCTGGTATTGACGCCATTGTTGCAATGCTGGCTGGACTTTTTGCGGAGTGGAAAGGAAAGTACGTGTGCGGTATCTAGAACAGAACCCAACTGCAAGACGTGCAGGTACAGCAGAAGTTTGTTGAAGGCACCAGAGGTTTGCGTCAGTACGGGCAGCTGGTGGCAGAAAGACGTAGTACAAGGCAACGGGGGGCACGTAGGCGGGGAAGCGGTGTACCTGCAGGGCCCGTTTCAGCTGCCGATTCGTTTATTGGGATATCCCCTTGTAGCAGCACCCTTTATCGCCTCTTATCACCTGCATTCGACCATCTTCGAACGTCTTCGGAAGGCGAGAGATGCTCCTCTTCGTTGCAGCAAAATTCAATGCATGCGGGCTCTAATGCTGTTCCAGTTCATTGATAGTGAATCTAGGAATCTTGGCACTCAACCTGGCCCAGATCATCTCCAGAGGCACTTGTTAACTGAAAGTGACGTCGGCTGAACACCTCGATCTCGACATACGCCTTGGCTTAACGGGGACATGCAATAAACAAGCACAGGCGGGGGATCGCCACTAAGGAGCTTGCTCCCAGATCACGTGGAGAAGCTCGGGATGACTCAGCAATGTTGCGGTGACAGCTTGCGCATGAGCACGGTCGATGGAGCTCTGCGGCGGTGCTAGTCGCCCCACTACGAAACGTCAGGCTTCCGACTGTGCCAACCTCAGTGCTCAACCTCACGAACCCCGCGGTCAACATCCAACTCCAACCTCTCAATATCACCAAGGTTGGACGCGGCCAGGCTTCGCCATCATGGTAAGAGCTTCTTCGTGTTATCAGGCTTTGTCTTTCGACTCAATTCGCTAACGTGACTCTGATAGTCTCAATCCTTGCGACCCTACCTCCAGGCCGTCCGGAGCAGTCTGACGGCCGCCCTCACGCTCTCCAACTTCGCTTCCCAAACCGCCGAACGTCACAATGTCCCCGAGATTGAGGCCCAAACCTCCCCCGAGGTCCTCCTGACCCCTCTCACCATCGCCCGTAATGAGAACGAACGCGTTCTGATCGAGCCGAGCATCAACTCCGTGCGGATATCCATCAAGATTAAGCAGGCCGACGAGATCGAGCACATTCTAGTCCACAAGTTCACCCGGTTCTTGACACAGAGAGCCGAGTCTTTCTTCATTCTCAGGAGGAAGCCCATCAAGGTATGCCAGACGCTGGCTGGTCTCGGCGGCAGTTCGATGCCACGTGGCACACGAGCCCCTTTTCCAGATTTAGGATGCTGATGATTTTATTCAGGGATACGATATTTCTTTCCTCATTACGAACTTCCATACCGAGGAGATGTTGAAGCACAAGCTGGTCGACTTCATCATTCAATTTATGGAGGAGGTTGATAAGGAGATTTCGGAGATGAAGCTCTTCGTACGTGCTCCCGACAAGTTCAGGGCTATTCCGCGGGAGGACTTCATTGCTAACAACCCCCAGCTCAACGCAAGAGCGAGATTTGTTGCCGAATCATTCCTCACTCCCGTAAGTTGATTTGTTCCTCACACTCAGCCTTGACGTCATTGACCGTGTACCTTAGTTCGATTAAATACCCATCAAAGCGTAACAAAGTCTGAGAGGTTAGTATCCGGAAACAGGTAAACGTTTCCCGCCGACTTCGCCCAAGATACTAGCCAGATCGAGGTTTCGAGCAAGGATCATGAGTTGGAGTTAGATGTTGGCTCGAGCGTAGCCGGAATGCCGGGATCCACATTGGGTCCGACTTCGACATCGGTCCGCAAATCCGGGGCCGTGTGGGAATGATGATTGGGACATACTTGATACACAAAAATTCAGATATGATCATGAGCCTGAACCTTCACCGTGCGCTGAGAGCGTCAAGTCGAGGACCGCATCTTTCCATCTTGAATCAATGATGTTGCCAAGGATGTCGCTAACTTGGCAAGAGATGTATGATGGTTCCCATCCCTAGCTGCGCTCGAGATTTTCCATGCACCTTCATTCAAGCGAGCTTGATGGAATTATCAAAAGACCGTCTGGTCCTTTCCTATGTGCGCGGCTAGATTTCCTATGTACTCAAATGCTTATATTATGGGCGATAGCAACGACGATGCAAGTGACGTTACCGATGATACTGACGACGGCGATGACGGCGACGACAACGAAAATAGTAACAACAACGACAATGATAGCAAATAAGATTAAGGTGCATAGCCACAGGAAAAGTAGTCGTTTTAGCACAGGAAAAAACAATCAGGCGGTCTCATTAGCAAAGCTTCTCCGTGGATCAGGTCGCGGTCACAGAACAAAGACTTGTCACCCTTCTACCGAATCGACAGGAACTCGTCAGAGGTAGCGGCGCAAGCCAATTCTTCATGGTCCTGAGCTTTTGCTGTCTTCATGTTAATTCAGAAGCTTGGGACGGGTT